CCTGGACGTGTCGGTGCTGCTGCCGCGCCGGGCCAGCCCCGTCAAATACCGCATCGAGAACCGCAACGCGCTGGTGGCACGGTCTGCTGAGGTACCTGGCACTGTCACCTGTCACATTGTCACCTGTCCCTGTCATCCTGTCACCCTGTCCCTGTCATCCTGTCACCCTGTCCCCTCTGGGCCAGCGCCATCAAATACCGCATCGAGAACCGCAACGCGCTGGTGGCACGGTCTGCTGAGGTACCTGGCACTGGCACCTGTCACACTGTCCCTGTCACTCTGTCACCCTGTCACCGTGTCCCTGTCACCTGTCCCTGTCCCCTGTCACCCTGTCCCTGTCCCCTCTGGGCCAGCCCCGTCAAATACCGCATCGAGAACCGCAACGCGCTCGTGGCACGGTCTGCTGAGGTACCTGGCACTGGCACCTGGTACCTGGCACCCTGTCCCTGTCACCCTGTCCCTGTCCCCTCTGGGCCAGCCCCGTCAAATACCGCATCGAGAACTGCAACGCGCTGGTGGCGCGGTCTGCTGAGGTACCTGGCACTGGCACTGTCACCCTGTCACCCTGTCCCTGTCACCCTGTCACCCTGTCACCTGTCCCTGTCCCTGTCCCCTGTCACCCTGTCCCTGTCACCCTGTCTGTGTTACCCTGTCTCTGTTACCCTGTCCCTGTCACCACCCTGTCACCACCCAGTCCCTGTCACCTGTCCCTGGTCACCCTGTTACCTGTCACCCTGTCTCTGTTACCCTGGCACCTGGCACCTGGTACAAGGCACCCTGTCCCTGTCATCCTGTCACCTGTTGCCCTGTCACCTTGTCACCTGTCACCCTGTCTCTGTTACCCTATCTCTGTCACCCTGTCCCTGTCACCCTGTCTGTGTTACCCTGTCTCTGTTACCCTGTCCCTGTCACCTGTCACCACCCTGTCACCACCCAGTCCCTGTCACCTGTCCCTGTCACTGGTCACCTTGTCACCTGTTACCCTGTCTCTGTCACCCTGGCACCTGTCACCCTGTCACCTGTTGCCCTGTCACCTGTCACCCTGTCTCTGTCACCCTGTCTCTGTTACCCTGTCACCCTGTCACTCTGTCCCTGTCACCTGTTGCTCTGTCACCATATCCCTGTCACCCTGTCACCCTGTCCCTGTCACCTGTCACCCTGTCACCCCCTTGCTGTGACCTGCAGTGTCCCTGTCATCTTCAAGTCCTCCCTGTCCCCTCCCTGTCCCCAGTGTCCCCATCCTTCTCCCTGATGTCCCTCCCCTGCCATCCCCCTCCCTGTCCTCAGCGTCCCCTGATGTCCCCGATGTTCCACCCCTCCCTGTCCCCTCCGTGTCCCCTCCATGTCCTCCACCATCCCTGTCCCCTCCGTGTCCCGCCACGCCGTTGTCCCCTCCCTGTCCCTGTCCCTTCTCTGTCCCCTCCACAGTCCCCGTCCCCCCCAATGGTCCCTGTCCCCACAGACCAAGGTGAACGAGGACTTCACGGTGAAGGCCGAGGGGGTTGGCAAGGGGACAATGACAGTCGTGACCGTCTACAACGCCAAGGTCCCCGACAAGGACGACAAGTGCGACAGCTTCGACCTGCGCGTGCAGGTGGAGGAGGTGGCGGCGGGTCAGTGTCCCCAGCGTGTCCCCAAAGTGTCCACTTGTGGTACCGCCCGTGTCCCCCCCCCCGAATGTCGCCCTCAACGTCCCCGTTGTCCCCGCGCAGGCAACGGGGAAGGGGGGGCGGGGGGACAAGAGGAGGAGGTACGTATCAGCTCCATCAAGATGCACAGCGTCGGCGGCCAGGTATGGGTGACGTGGGACAGCAGGGGGGTTTGGGGACGTCGGGACAATCGGCGGGCGGTGAATGGGGGTGGCAAGGGAGGGACATGGGGAGACAGGGACACTGGGGAACACTGGGGACCAGCAGGGAACATTGGGGACAGGGAGGGGGATACTGGGGACAGGGACATCGGGGAAAGGATGGGGACACTGGGGCCAGGGAGGAGGGTGGCAGGGGAGGGACATCGGGGAGAAGGGACACTGGGGACACTGGGGACAGCAGGGATGTTGGGGACAGGGAAGGGGAGGGGGATACTGGGGACAGGGACAGTGGGGAAAAGGAGGGGGACGTTGGGGACATCAGGGGACACCGGGGACAGGGAGGGGACAAGGAGGGGACAGGGAGGGGACAGGGAGGGGAGGAACATCGGGGACATCAGGGGACACTGAGGACAGGGAGGGGGATGGCAGGGGAGGGACATCAGGGAGAAGGATGGGGACACTGGGGACAGGGAGGGGATAGGGAGGACATTGGGGATGTTGGGGACAGGGAGGGGAATGGGGATGTTGGGGACAGGGACATCAGGGGACGACGGGGAGGACATTGGGGACAGGGAGGCAAATGGGGACACTGAGGAGAGGGACATCAGGGTAAAGGATGGGGACACTGGGGACAAACAGGGATGTTGGGGACAGGGAGGGGAATGGGGACATTGAGGACAGGGAGGGGACAGGGAGAGGAATGGGGACATTGGGGACAGGGAGGGGGCAGGGAGGACATTGGGCACAGGGAGAGGAATGGGGACATTGAGGACAGGGAGGGGACAGGGAGGACATTGGGGACATTGGGGACAGGGAGGGGACAGGGAGGACACTGGGGTCAGGGAGGGGAATGGGGACATTAGGGACAGGGAGAGGACAGGGAGGACATTGGGGACATTAGGGACAGGGAAGGGGCAGGGAGGACATTGGTGACGTTGGGGACAGGGAGGGCACAGGGAGGACACTGGGGACAGGGAGGGCACAGGGAGGACACTGGGGACAGGGAGGTGAATGGGGACATTGGGGACAGGGAGGGGAATGGGGACACTGGGGACAGGGAGGGGAATGGGGACATTGGGGACAGGAAGGGGACAGGGAGGACATTGGGGACAGGGAAGGGGCAGGGAGGACATTGGGCACAGGGAGGGGAATGGGGACATTGGGGACAGGGACATCAGTGGTAAAGGATTGGGATGTTGGGGACAGGGATGGGGCAGGGAGGACACTGGGGACATCGGGGACAGGAAGGGGAACTGGAGTACTGGGGACAGGGACATCAGGGACAAGGACGGGGACACTGGGGACAAACAGGACTCAGCCCCACCTTGTCCCAGAGGGATCCTTGGGGACAGGGACATCAGAGCAGGGGACTGTGGGGACAGTCGGGGGGTTGGGGACCGGGGGGTGGCCTCAGCCCTGTCCCCGCAGGCACCTGGGTGACGTGGACGCCACCATGTCCATCCTGGACGTGTCCATGCTGACCGGCTTCACCCCCGACCTGCAGGACCTCAAGAGGGTCAGTGTGGGGACACGGGGGGGCATGGGGGGGACAAGGGGACATGTCCTCGGTGTGACGGTGTCCCTGGGTGTCCCTGGGTGTCCCTGGGCGTCCCCGTGTCCCCGGCGTGACGGTGTCCCTGTCCCCAGCTCTCGGAGGGGGTGGACAGGTACATCTCCAAGTTCGAGCTCGACCAGGCGCAGTCGGAGCGGAGCAACGTCG